ATTATTTTATTCAGGAGAAATCAACAGCGTTTGATGTCTGTTTTGTGCATCTTGAATTGAAAGTAATACAAGTACCATGACATTTTTGTTCATCGAAAGCCTATTTGAAAGTGGCATCTGACACCCCAGTGGTAATACCCATTATTTTCAAGATTATTGTTCAAACCGACATAGTTTTATCTTAAATAATTGCTTGACTTATCCTAAAAGTACAAATATGTAGCAATTGATATAAAGTTTATTAGACTGAAATACATTCAAATGAATTAATTTAGATCACTCAAGTATAAGCAAGGGATTCAAATCAAATCGTAATCATTTAACTGAGAATCATTCAGATGAAATACGTTCAAATGAGGATACTTCAATTCAGGAAAACCATTCAATCTTTTATTTTGCAGTTGAATGACATTGAAAAGAAGATCATCATTAGTCCACTTGCTATGGCTCATTGGCAGAATCAAGGCTACCTCTGTCACTTGGCCATGGTTCGATTCCCTGTTCAGACAAAATTTGTTCATGCATCCAAGGAGGGGTTTCTGGTTTTGTCTTTGAGTGTAGAATATGGGATATACCAATGAGGTATTACTCGCAAAAATATGATAGTACATAACCAAAGTGGGATGCGGGATGGATATATTATATCTGCCAGCATTTAGCCTGGAGCGGGACATATACAATATATCCTGCCAGCTCCTCAGATATGATATATATTGCCGGGTGATGTCTACCCCAAACCTACTCAAGTATGAGATAAAATACAATACAAGTCCTTTCAATGGAGAATCATTCATTCAAGGAAAATGTATATTTGTGTTCCCCAAATGTTGCCTCTTGTGCTTTCTGAATATGCTTTGTACTTTCTTTCAATTATTTCATACTTTATAGTATAATTGTTTGAAATAATATGCTACCATAGGAATTGTTAGTTATTGCCTAGATTGTTCATCTCCATTAAGATGCAATTACTCACACAGAATGCCACAGAGGATATTCAGTTCCTCATGGACATCGTTATTGACGTAAAACATTGTCTGTACTTAAAATGCATAACCTCACTTGATAGTGTGGATAGATTTTATAAGATGGGAATAGGATCTTAAGCTTTTGTGTAATTTATCAAGATTTGTTTAAAATGCAGTATCTGTTACCGGATCAAGATTAGCAGAAGTGCTTGCATACTGTGATTTTCCAGGGATTTCGTCAGGGCCCAGTGAGGATCATAATCTAGGTACCCTAGAACTGCCTTGATCGATCTAGTTACCTTGGGACTGTCTAATTCTAGGTGCCCCATGACTTTCTAAATCTAGGTACCTTAAAGGACTGTCTAGATCGATGTAACCTACAAGTGTCTAAATCTAGGTGCCTCATGGCACTCTTAATCTAGGTGCCCTATGACTGTCTAGATCTTTTTGACCATCTAGGTACCTCAGTTATGACTATCTAAATTTAGGTGCCGTAGAACTGTCTAAATCTAGGTGCTCTGTGGCTGTTTAAATCTAGGTGCCATATTATGATTGTCTAAACTCTCTAAATCTTGGTACCCGATGACTGTTTAAATCAAGGTGCTCTATGAATATCTATAAATAAGCTCTAAATCTAGGTAGATTCAGATTGAGACACTAATGCTGCTAATATAATCCTGACATTTTAAATTGAGACCTTGCTATTGTTCAAGACTGAAGGTTGGCAATTTAATTGACCTGATTGATTTATTGATTCATGTCAATGTCAGCTCACTCTGTCTACTTACTCTTTCTTACAATTTGATTTTGCTTTTTTAAATGAAAGCTTCGTTTGTACATGTTCTTCGCCTGGCTGTGACCTTCAGGGTACGTCAACTCTACTGCAGTACCCTGGGCTATATTCTTTTCAATATACGTATATGTAGTTATGGAACTCAAATATTGACAAATCACTTTGAAGGCTTGTCAAATCTTATTTCTTTAAATTGATGTAATAGGTCAATAAAAATACCAAAATGAATGTCAGGTTAATTACATTTGGTAGAAAAATCATGAACTAAAATTGATAATGTCATGATGTAGGATATAGAGTCTGGACAGAAATAAGATATCAGATCATAATAAGCGAGCACCCAAAGGAAATCAAACCAACTGACACATCTCCCCTAGGGGCCTTTCCTGACTAATAATTCAGCTATTGCTTGTTTATCAACATTTTCTAGATTCCTTTATTCTGTCATATAATGCAGGATATTGGAGTTAGCAGCCAATTTTCTCATGAGAATTGACAAAACAAGATGCCATAAATGTTGGATTTTGTCCTGATGAGAATACAGACTCTTGCATAGGGGTAAAACCTAAATAGTTTTGTTTTCCTCAAAGTTAAGTCTACAAACCTCACTTTTAATTATTTGAAAAGTACAGATAATGGAGGAAATGTTAATCATACCTGCAAATATAAACAAAGAGGGTCTATCTGAGATTGAGGCACTTTTTCTTTACATTATTCATCCAGTATATATGGGCCATTACAGCAAGTTATCCTTTAAATATTTGATAGAATATGTAAATAAAGTACTAAAAAAAACAATATGATCCCATTTACTTGGTATGGCTTTAGCATAGTAACAATTTTGGACATGTTTGTGAAATACTAGAATATTAAAGAAGACAATGCTACTCAGGATATTTCCTTACATCATGGTCATTGTATGATAGGTTAGTTTGGGTTGTGGACATAACCCATGGGTATCTTAAGAAAATAAGAAGTAAAAGTATGACATCTATAAATCATATAAAAGTCAAAATGCTTATTGTACAAATTTTACATAGAAGTTGTAAATATTAAATGAAAGCTTCAGAATTTTAGTGCTTGCCTCTGGGTTTCACAGTATCAGTATCAAGACATACAGTGATTTATATTGTACTTTGAGGAGAAAAATGGCCACCATGTAATTTGCCAAGAATCCTTAAAACCTTATCAGATCCTGGCACTTGTCTTCCCTTGCTCTGTAAAAATTTCAAGTTGAATAAATAAGCAGTTTTTCTGACAAAAATTTGATAATAAATTTGATAATCATGATTTGATAATGATAATAAATCATTTTGCTTCACTTGAAGATGACAATATAGTGAATCAATCAGATGTGTAACTTGTTTTCATGGCTGGGATACACAATCGTAACCAACTGAAATCAAACTCTGAATAAAGTGTAGGAGAGTATCTGTTATTGATATTAAGTTGGGCATTGTAATTGTAATGCACGAATGGTTAAGTACAAACTTAAAGTGATAATGACATTGCTATTACAACATAAAATTGATTTTTGATCATTTTGTCCAGACAAATATGGATCTTAAATGAGTTATTCCACTTAATTGCTTTGTATCTTATAAATATTTCAACAGAGGCTTCATTGTTGTGCAGTTTTACAATGTAAGGATTAAGCTTGATTTAAATGGAAACCTATATTTTTTATTGAGAACTACTGTGATATACTTAGGGTGAGTTATCATTGTTCTTTTGACGGTATATAAAAACCAGACACTTTGAAGTTCTTATTGTGTTGCTCCGGTATGGGATATTTTAACATGCTATCTTGAATTTTTTAGTACTCACATAACATTTACCTGGTCTTTTCATATTTTTTTTACCTTGCTAACGATACTCTTGGGCTACTTCCCACAAATTTTCAGTGAATTTGGTTCATCAGTTGCAGAGAAAATACTTGTCAAAAAGTGTCTCATTTTTTGGGACACCCAATATACGTATATTGTATAATACATGTTATATACAAATATTAAATTTACTATTAAAGATAAGGTCCCATTTTTACATGGAGGTCTATATACATGATTCAGACATGACGATGCTCATTCAAGCAGAATTCAGCATCGCCAAGAGAGAACGTTCTCTAATTCTCCATAGATGCATGATTGTGCTCTATTCGATCATCCGGGTATCTATATATTGTCTGTCGCAATGAAGAAACTGGAATAAAGTATAATCGTTGTTTAGTAAAACCTGTCTCAGTAGAAAATATTTGGTTCCTCTACGAAGCGTTCTACTTGAGGTTGTAATAAAGGTTCATTTAACATTAAGTCAGTTGGTCTTGGGATTCTGAAAGCTTACCACTAACAGACGTGTTTAACTTAAAAAGGTGTTCCACTTAACAGGTTTCACTGTATAATGAATATCCGTTAACATACTTTTTTTCTTAACAGCCACTGAACTAGAATTGAAAAAAATTATTGTTGCATGTCACAGTCTGTTGTCAAATGTGTAGAAATTGCAATTTAACAAATTTGATTCAGAGTTATAACATTGATAGACACTGACACACAGAGACTATTTGTATTCTTTCAACATCACATTATTGAAAAGAGTAACACTGATGTGTATACAATGTAATTCCGCAAGAGAATTGCTGTCGTTTAACATCGCGATATATTGGTAGCTCATATAGAGGCGTAAATTTTCAACAGCAGATTTTACTGTATCAGTATACAACTTATATATAAGTCTATATTAAATATTGGCATGTTCTTTGAAAATTTTCTTTTTTATTGGTGTTAAAAGATTGATATACTCTGGCATGCTATTCAGTTTGTTCTTTGTCACTGCTTTCTTGAAGAAACTATACCATGAGGCAATTTCAACTGTTCATTAATTTTGTAAAGGTCGTTCATTCGGGATAGGCTTGGATTTGCTATTGATTCATAAACACTGGGAAATTGCCTTCCCGATGTTCCCTTAGCTTCTATATACTTAGCCAATAAAAATGTAATATTTCACATTCATCAAAATATAGCTGACTTTTTGATTATGTCTTTGTTCCGGAGTTGTATATTATAGCTAAACGTCGTTAGAGCTAGTACCGATATTATATCAACTTTGTGTAGGATTGCAGTAAATGAATCTAATTTGGAATATAGGCTAATATAAGACATGCCTTTTCCAGATTTAATTTGATAAATTGCTTCTCTGGTTAATATGAAAGATGATGGTAATTTATATCACTTCTCTGTCTCTGTTTTCAGATATGACACGTCTGTGGTTTTAAGACGTAGCAACCCTAACGACAACTTTTAACCCAATATGTCCGACCCAGAGGGAGTGATTGAGGGGTCGATTAAAGACTCGGGGGATAACGTTGGAGGAACAGTCATAAGTGATGTATGCGAGGCCGATATGGCCTTAGAGAATGGACAGACAGAGATTGGAGGTGACCCTCCTAAGCCACAAGCTATTGAACAGGGGAAAGAGGTGAACCAAATACAAACTGACAATGAGTCCCCAGAATCTGATCCCCAACCAACAGGTCCAGGGGATGTCTTGAATACAGTCGAGACAGATTCAAATCGTGGTGTAAGCTTTGATGACGAAGTAGATGATCGAATGAGTATGGAAGTACAGCTAGGTGGGGGGAGCTCAAGACGAGCAAGTGATGTCAGTACACTCTCTAACTACCAGAATATTACAATTGAAGAGCAAGAGAATAGTGAAAATACTGACCTTGACCCTGAAAGTTGTAGTAATGACCCTGTGTCATCTAAGATAGACTCTGATAGTGATTCTTGCCCAAATGACTTCACAGAAGCAGATGCGGACACATTTGCAGATGGATTTACAACAGTTAGACGTCTTAAGGATGAAGTGGAGGCTGAAAATTATAAATATGAAGAAAAGCTGAAGGAAAAAGTAAGAGAGGTTGAGGAAAAACGAAAATCTGGAGAATTAGATCATATTTCAGATGATGTGATCAACAATGAGCAATATCCTGAAAATGAAAAAACTGAATCAAATGAAGGTGATAAGTCAGATGGTGATGATATGAATGATAAATTAGAAGCAGATATGCCTGATAATGATAGCTGTTCTAAAGATGCCAATGATGTGGAGAATCATTTAGAAAAGTCCCAAGAAATGCAAGTTGAAAACCAGGATGAAATCGACGCAAAATTGCAATCAATAGAAAGCAAGGATCAAGAAAAGGATTTAGATGTAAACACACAGAGATCAATTCCATGTAATCCTAGTGTAAATCACTCTCCACGAGAAGAAACTAATCATCTCCATGAGCCTGAGTCAATCAATAAATTAACAGACAATATTGCCAATACCCAGGGTGCATTAGCACAGGAAGTAGCCAATAAGCATGCTCAGTTAAGTAGCGCTGAAATTGAGGCAAATGCAAACAGCAATAGTGGCATATTAACGAGTAGTAATGACAAGGCAATCAATAGCAATAGTAATAGCACCAAGAACATGGCAGGACAGAAGCCAGTAACTTCAAGTAAACGAAATAGCTTAGAAATCCGTAACAACATCCCTGATGTAACAGAAATAAAAAATTATCAGCAAGATGATATTGATATAAGGAATACTACACAAGCTACAGCCGTGCCAAAAATTAAGAAAAAATCGCCAGGATTAGCGCAGCGTGTCCAAGACCAGGATGAGGATTATGTGAGAGAATACCGAGATACATCAAGCTCAGAGCGTGAGGTTGATATTGAGGCTACACGAGCAAAGTTAGAAGCTAGTATAACACAGCAGGTGGAACATATGGTAAATTCAAACAGTAGGGAAGGTAGTTTGTCCCCAAGGGGTACCTTAGAGCGTATCAAGCCTTCCCTAAATGATCTACAGGCACAGAAGGAACAAGCCCAGATGACTGAAAATAAATTAAAACAGGAACAAAGTGAAAGAAATGATAATCGGGATGTAGAAAATGAATATGATTATATTAAATATGCCAGGGTCCAGGCAGATGATGGTAACTCCTATGTTGGAATGCGGTTGGCTTTTTCCACCTCAAATGATTCTATTCATTCTAAGGGGGCTGTTTTAAGTGACGCAAGTGCAGGAAGCTCCAGGGAACCATCCCCCGATAAAACTATCGTCCAATCCCCAAGGAAACCGAACTCTCTTGGTGAAATCCAAAGTAATTTAATTCCTAAAATATCAGAGGAAACTTTAACTGATGGACCTGTAAATAACAGCGATACTGTACCTATGGACGACAGTAAACACTTTACTCTGTCACCGGAATTAACAGAATGCGATAGTGCTGAAGTTGAAAGTGTGTTATCTGAGGGTCGATCTGAAGGTGGAATGCCAACTGTCGAAGATGGTCTATCCAGTAGTCAAAACAGTGACACAGAGGACCCATTCTACAATGAGCTACCACATAATCCCTCGGAGTTGTTAAAACAGAGGGTAAAAGAGCAGATAAATCTCCAGTTAGTTGACCCACAGGAGGTGGTTAATGGAATAATAGAGAGGAGTAACATACAACAACAAGAGCAGAAAAAGGCACTGGAGTTAGCCATGAAGGACATCAAAACTGCCATAAACGAAACTAAACAACAGGAACTAGAGTCCCCTTATGCAGAGAGTTTAGAGTCCACACAAAGACCGCAACATCCAGAGCCTGTATGGGTCATGAGGTAAGTACACAGAGTTCTAATAAAGTTGTTCTAATACGCCTGGCTAATCGGAACACCTTCCTATCTGAATGCTTTTACCTCAGTCCCAAATGGTGTTGTATATTTTTGAAAACTCACATTGGTCAGATGTTTTGAAATCTTACTCAAACTGAAATAAAGGGAAATTGGTAATAGATTTGTTAAACATGCACATAGATAATTACTACACTTCAATTTGTATAGAAATGCCAAAAATTAGTTACTCAGAATCAGTTTTAGAGGTAATGGATTGAAATTATGGATGGGAGTAATTTAGTGCATAATTTGAGAGTTCTCTGGTATTAATCATAATATTTTAGTCAAGTGTTTGTGATTTAAGGCTTGCATCATGACCTTTAATTGTATTTTATTGTTAATTTTTTTAATGAAAATCCTAATTGATTATAACTCTCATACTTGTGGGGGGGTCTCTACTCTGGGAAAAAATGACTAGATTATAATAGTTCTATAGATCAATCTTTGAAAAAAAATCAGTTTTTCTACTTCATTATTTCGATAGGTTTGTGATGTTAATATCAGGTGTTTAAGTGATAGACTTGAAGATATAAGGCAGTGATCTCCCCAGGATTTTGTCTCAAGTGGGTGCAAAATTCTTCCAAAATTGGTCAAATATGCCAATTTTTCATGATTTTTTTTTCAATTTCAAGTGGGTGAAAATGGATATTCAGGTGGGTGCAAGCATATTTTCAAAATCTCAGGTAGGTTCTACGTCCCACTTGCTTTAATGCTGGGGAGATCACTGTAAGGTTTTAGGATGGAAGAGAGCGCATTACCGTTGATTCAATGTTATTCCTTTCGCTTTACAAGTAAAGTCATGAAATCCACAAGGATGGGAATTGGCATTTTTCCTAAATGATCCCAGTGCAACTAATTAGCATCAATGCTATGATGAAGTTAATGTCAATGCTACAATGACTCTGGGAAAAGAATTCCTGCATTATATAATATGATTTATAGAGTCAAACATGCCTGTCACTAAGCACTTAATATAGAGGTAAAAAACAAGACCAATAGTTATACATCATGTTCATGGGGGAATTGATGTTTGTAGAGTCAATTTCAATATTCTCAAGTCTTAACTTCCCAGTGGATAACTACACTTGATATGATTGAGGAGAAGTGCATTCAAGGGTGAGGGCTGGAAAACTATATATATATCCATCTTTGAATTTGATTGATTATTTTGATTGCTTGCTTGCTTGCTTTTGACTTTCTTGATTGATATATTGGTTGTTTATGTCAGGGATGGTGTCACAATGTCAGCTGTAGATGAGTGTAGTAAACGATGATTTCCTTGGTCAAAATAATATTTTCTTTGTCTTTCACTTGTTTAACTCAAGTGAAAGACAAATGAACATTAAAAAAAAAAAATTGGGCCCAAAAAAAATTTTTAGTCAAAAAAGGCCTTCAGGCTCCAAAAAGTGAGCCTTTTTGGTCATTACTGGGCCTTTTAAGGACTTATTTTTTAATTTCAGGCCAAATTTTGAAGAAAATGGGCCTCAAAATTTGGGCCCACTTTTGGGTTTTAGGGGCCCAAAATTTTTTTCCTCTGACCTGAAATTTGGGCCCCCCACCTTGTTGGTTTCCAGATCCGCTCCTGTCATGAATGTTATACAACTTACTGAATATCTGTAATAATAGTAAGACAGGAATACAAGTACATGTACAATAAAGCACATGCTACAATAATAACAATATGGTTGAATATACATGTATCACACAGCCAATCTATTACATGATTAACCTTAATTTATAACTTTAATAATGAATGACAACAGTATATCGTAATCATTTGAAGGTATAACAGATGCTTTCACACAATTTGTATCAACTTGTTTGACATATGGTCAATATATACACAGTTTCATGGATAGCTGGGTCCTGGGGTTTTCATTTTATGAATATCAATTTTACAGTGTCTATGCCCATAATTAGGATTTGCCAAGGGGGTTCACTTTTTAAAAATTTCCAGGGGGACAACTTGACAACTTTACCCCAAAAATGCCAAAAATCACTTGAAAAGTGCTCAGAATGGTGAAATAAGAAATATAGTCTAGCTTCTCTAAGTTTCTTCTTTGTATCCAAATGATATCTGTGATGCTCTCTAGATCAAATATCACCCTTTGTATTTCTAGATTTAGAAAATTGTGTTTTCAAGTTCAGATATTGCCTGTTGTATTTTCTGATTTAAATATTGCCCTTAGTGTATTCTGGTTCAAACGTTGCCTCTTATTTAGTTATTTTGCCTCTTATTAAGTTGCCTCTTAGGTTTGTAGTTTTTTGAGATTCTTCAAAGGAAAATCACAACTGCTGCAAAAATTCTGCATCTTATCACAGTTGTTTTATGAGAATGTTGAAAGTATATTATAAGTTGTAATAATATTTTGTGACTTATGATGTTAGGCAATTCACAAATTCAATCTTCATTTTTTCAGAACTTGTTAAATTAGAAACATAAGAAAGCATGCTCATTGAAACATTCATATTTTTTGTTCAAACCAAGAATTCAGCAAATATTCTGCAAAAATCATAAAATCTGTATTTTCTGTTTAGAAGGGAAAACAACGTATAGTAGCTTGTATTATTCCATAGTTAGCATGATATTCATAGGATAACATGTGAAAATAAAAACGGTATTTTTGTGGTCAGTGGTAAAAAATGATATTTTTGACAAATTTTCACTTAACCATAGCATACGGTTTTTTAGCCATGACATACGACGTCGTATGCGATGGTTTATGGATTTTTGCTACTTCAGACTCAAAACGAGGCTAAGTGTCAACATCGCCGGATCGTTTGGAAAATTCGAATTAAATGACTTAATTTCCGACGATTCTGATGATGACTTAACCTTTAGCGTGCTGCCGGCGGACTCGTCCGCCGAGACTAAAATGTCTCTCACAACTGCCGTTGGACCCGTACGCCCGATTTCAAACTTTTAAAAACTTTACTTTTTCGCGCCATTCGTATTGTCCAATTAGATTGCCCGATTTATTCAGTGCCTAACATGACTTCCTGTTGACCTAGAATGGCGATATTTCGAAAAATAATTCTCAATTCAACAATTTAAACAGTGTTTTAGTCGTTTTTAGTGAACGAATCGTACAAAATGGTGGACAAATACGATCACAACGAAAATGTGGAGGAAATGAATTACGATTTCGAGCTCTTTAGGCTCTTGGAAGCCGATAACGGTCATCGAAAATAGAAACTAGAATATTTTCTGAATTGAAAAATTGAACATTCGATCGCTGCAAATTCAGATTTGGATTCTGACCAGACGAAGAGGCGGAGCGGCGGATTCCGGAGGAGTATTCATGGTATATTTATGCCCAGTCGTGTTAATGTACGAAAAAAATCATGAGAACATTTTTTTCATGAGCCAGGCCACTGTATCTTCCCTTTGTGAAAATTTTATCCAGATTCATTCAGTAGTTATTGAGATATTAATTATCAGTGCGTGAAATAAGGATTTTTTTAACCTAGACATTTTGGCAGGCCAGCCAGATTTTAGCCAGCCATATCATTTTTTCTCAGGCCAATTTTTTGCAGCCTGTTTCTTACTTCTCTGGCCAAAAATTTCATTTTCCATATTTCTCCACAACCACTCTAAAATGAGATTTAGTTTAGTACAATATTAACAAAGTAAAACTAATTCCATTGCATGTCATGTATCATTCACTATACTGTACTTGATGACTTAACCAACAGCCTGGGTGTGTTGATTCCCCCCTAGATTCACCTTACAAAAACATGAGGAACATGTACATATTGATCAAACTAAATTGTACTGATTTTGGTCGGTTTAGAATTGCTCTCAGAAGCTTCAAGGTATTCAAAAACACATACTATGTACACAGACTCCACTAACAGACTAAAATTCAAGGTATATATTAGAGGTGTCACGGTCCAAATAAATTTCGGTACGGTACGGAACGGTACAAATGGTCTCGGGACACGATACTTTCGAGACAGGACGGGACAGAACATTAAAAATGATACAATGTCTGATGATGACAGTTTCACTTTCAGTTTCACTTTTCAAAATCATATTCAGAAATACGTCAATTAAAATCGAATATAAAGCATCTGCCGTGAATGTGATCGGCATTTCACATAGTCTGCATGGTGAACTATCACCAATTCGTTTACCTTGTGATATCGGAGTCCCAAAATACTTCCAAACTGCCGACTTTTTGGACTTAGATGCCGGCTCGATTTTTCAATTTCTTTTCTACATCCGGCATACTGATAATGCACTCGATTTGCGAACGACGATGAAGAAATGAGTCATCCATAGCCAATCAAAATCACCGTAATTTCAACAAACAACAACAGCCAATCAAAAGTCACGTTATATCTTGGGCTTCAGTATGAAAACAAAAATATTTGAAATTTTTTTAAATCTTCAACAAAAGTCATGGAATAAGCCGAAATCGCGGGGAATTCGGAGGATTTCCGGACTGAAATGTGAGTTCTATTCATGGGCAATCTAACGAATGCCACAAATGTCTGGCAGGCCAAAATGTCTGGGTGTTTTTATCAAAACAAGCCATCTGTAATTTTGTCAGGCCAATGGCCGATGTCGGACGTCTATTTCGCGCACTGATTATTATATCATTTTTTGCACTCTTTGAAAAATAAGCCAGTTGCGTGGGATATATTTGCTGAAATAAGGCAGCATGGTAAAGGTTAACTATGGAATAAAAAGAACATCCTATGATTTACTCGTGATATGATTTTAATCCACTCATGGTTATTGACATCTGCACTCTCTCGCTACGCTCGCTCGTGCAGATATCATATTCATTCGTGGATAAAAATCATATCACTCATAAATCTTAGGATATCCTCTATTTATATGCTCAGAAAGGTTGTTTGCACTGAATATAACTCATGAAAATATGTGACAATCAAACATAAAGGGGATAATAACATCCTCTTTATTACTGATGTTCTAC